TTATGGGAATGACAATTAGTTTTGGATAATTGAACCCATCAATATTCATTGCATTGGTTAGGTGAACCAAAAGTCCTAGCGATTCCATCATTTGCATATTCGATTAGTGATCACCCCTGTTTTTATTTTCTTTATTCCAGTTTTAATTTCAGTAGTTTTTCCTAAAATCTAAATTTCGATTGTCCAAATAATTAGGAAAAACTGTGATTCTAATACTTATTTTGTTAAATCCCCGTGGGAACAATATTATTATACTACTTGATAAGTAATACACTTGTTAGGGTTATATATTTATAACTATCATTTTCCACAACAAAATATAAAAGTGGACTGAGGACAATCCCCACATATATCTTATTAATATATATTGCCAGTGGAGATTATTTAATTTATCTCACTGACAGTCATTTATCACTGGCCATATATATCCTTTATTTATAGATGAAATAGAAAGCACATACATTAATTAATATATATCAATACATGTGATAAGAGAAGATGGTGGTTGGGATGAACAACTCCAACTCCTCTATCTGTCCATCCATATTATGCAACGGATGCTCTTTTCTTGGATAAGCAAATCAAAAGCTTTGTTTATATCGTGAAAGCTCACCTCGTGTGTTATGAAGTCGTCCAAATGCAGCTCCTATCAATATCATGAATCATGCGCAAAACAAACCAACACACAACCAAAATGTTAAAATATGAATCATGTAACTCAATCCTACTCTCGATCGATCAGATTAAGACTGATCCCGAGACCATCCAACATTCCAACTAATGGAATTAATAATTTAAGATTTTAAATTAAACTTAATATACTAACTTTAATTAATTTACACCAAATTATAATTATAATAAAAAAATTAACTAATTAACGAGGAAGTAGGTACCTTGTCCAGATACATTTTGGCGAAGAGTGGAATATCAGTTTTGGCTTTAGTTCCTCCAAATAAGGCGCCTGTGATGCATTTGCCTCGTAGAATCTCCAAACAGTTTATACTTAACGGTGATCCATGCATCTCAACCCCCAATATCACTGTTTTCCCCCAACCCTAATGCCATCAAATAAATTAATAATTTAATAAAAAAACAAAAGAATACAGTCTACCAAATGAAAGGAATGGAGAGAGAGACCGATCGACAACAATTGAAAGCATCATTCATCAAGGACGCCAAGCCAATGCATTCGAAGCAATAGTCGGCACCCCCGTCAGTCATTTCTGATATTACCTAGAAAACGTATCATGCAAGATAAAATTAGAGAAATCGACCACGGCAGCTTGATACTTAATTGAGCTTTAATGAAGAGTAGGTGGCAGATTTAATCAAGACCTCGGTGATGGGTCTGTCCAAGCAATCTTTTGGGTTCACGAAATCGGTAACTCCAAATTTCTTTCCTGCACGAAATCAAGAAAAACAAAAGATATGTCATTACATAACATAATGCTATCTTTCGGTCTCCAGTATTACTTTAACTTTTCTGAGCTGTTGTTAAATTATCAAACTGTTTTAGGACTTCGGAGTTCGGATGAAGGTCTATTTTTGTTATTAAACCCAGCTAAGGTTTGTTATTAAACCCATTGTGTTCACATGGTTAAAATTATAATCGGGATTAGTTGAATGCATTAGACCCACATTATTGAGATGAATGATTGTAAGCCATACTTAACATTAGTTCCACAGCCTGTTTAACAGCTATTGCTTTCAGTTAACATCATATAGTCTAGAATCATTGATTGCACAATTGACAACTGACAAGGCCATTGATACGTGGCCATTGCTAAGTTATCTCTTTCAAATCTGTTGAACGTGGTAATTAAACTACTGAAATGTCTAACTCCATGTCAAATCAATCTTGTGAATCACATGGTTGAACCACTGAATTATGAAGGGACGTCCCTACTGCCTGATGGTTCGACGTTTAATTCGCTTTCACAACAATGGGCGAAATAATTAAAACCAAGAGAAAGAGAAAAACATACGGAATGAGCAAATTAGAACAAACCTATCTCAAACTTTTGGGGATTCAAATCAACTCCAATGATTTTTGAAGCTCCACGTATTCTTGCTCCTTCTGCAACCTGGGGCCACAAAATCTTATCAGAGAGAGAGAGAAAAGCCGGTTCAGACCAGTATCTATTATCCACTTAGATATGGTGAAATGTGAATGTGGTTTTTGATTTGTAAATATATACAGATCGTCAACTTGCTGAGCACAAAAGAGATTTGAGCGTAGCTCTACGCTCTGAATAGTCAAAGTTTGTTTTTTTTTTTTTTTTAATTTGCTCTCTTCTTCTTTTTGTGAATAAAGACAAAAAAGAAAAAAAATATTGAAAAGAAAATGTTTATCAATGGTACAGGCTCCACCAAATAAAAAGAGAAATAAAAGAGAGACAATGATGTACGAGAGAGATAAGGTTTTAGATAAAAAAAAGAGCTTTTTATTGTTCAATCCACCTCAGAAATCTAAGCCCCATCATATAAATGGACACTTTTTCCACAGTGTGAGATCATTTTTAGAAAAAAATTAATAAAATACATCTCAATTCGGAATAGCTGAACGCTTTGGTTTGGACTGTTTATTATTGATTCCACAACCCAATGAATAGTCAAAGCGTTCAGCTAAACCTTGCTTCTCAATTAGCGCTTATGCGGCAGATAATTATTCATATTCATATGTGGTATTAAACAGTTAGGGGCATCTGAAAATTCATTTTTTGGACTTCCAATGTCTACTGTGTAAACAAACGAACCTTTAAAGAAAATCATTAACATAAGTGGTGTAGTTTATAAGTGAGCATATGTGCTCACATCCCACTTTTGTTCCGGGTGTGCTGCGCTGTTGTCTTATTACATGTGCGGTCTAATGAGTGCGGATCTAATAATAAGCAAGGCTCAGGTGAATGCATCGAGTAATCACATTACTGAAAGGTTGGTGCATGTACTTTAAATGCCCATTTTCTCAATGTGTGTTCATTTTCATTTTATGCATATAAACAAAGGAGTGAAGGACAGGATCAATTTTATTTACCGCAAGTCCCACGGCACCAAGCCCAAAGATGACAACTGTAGATCCTGCTTCTACGTCAGCCACCTTCCATGCTGCACCTACACCTGCATTATTTTCCCATTATACAGTGGATCCAATTAGAATCGAATAAGATAATATTTGAATTTGAATCTGATTAAAAAATTTATTATTTTAATTCGATTAATTAATTATTTTAGGTAATTAATAAATATATAAATAAATATTTTATTTATATAAATATATAAATTATTTTTATAACTTAATTTTTATATATATATAAATTACATATATTATATATAAAAATTAAATAATTAATCAAATTTAGATATTAACTAATTAATATGAATAAAATATTTGAATTCTATTCGATTATATCAAATCTCGAATTCTAAATCGCATTTTCGAATACCTTTGGATTTATATTTACTGTGGCCTTGCATGCATCATGTGTCGCAACAGAATATTTTCTCCACTAGGTAGATATTGGTAGGAAAGCCTATAACTGTTAAATGGGCTGGAGTGACAGTCTGGTTTGACATACGTCGAGAAACATGGATGAACAGGTGTCAAAAAAATTTTCTGACATAGGAGCAACCACTGGCTTTGGTGTTAGTTTAAAAGGGTATTTCGAGATGCAGTTTTTGGCATTTTGAGTTGGACCTTACATAAACTGTTTTTGGTAATTGGATGCCCAAACGAAGGATAAGGTAAGAAAGCCTGTACAAGCCTTATACGGGTTTTCCCATCTTTCCCCTCCTTTCTCTACAATTTTTTTTTTTTTTTCAAACCAAACAAATCCTAAATAGCTTATCCAAAATATGAGTGCTCCACCGCACTCCAAACATAAAAACCCTTCCAAACAGGCTCTTAATGCAAAACGAAGCGTGTTGGCGCTTTATTGAGGAGGTATCTCAGGAGGAGGTTAACAATGAAATTAAAGCTAACAAACTTGTATGAAATGGGATAAACGGGCAATTAATCTTGACTTACCCGTTGATACACCACAACTGAGCAAGCAAGCCTTTTCAGCAGAGATGCGACGGTCGTCTAGCTTGGCGACGTGAGTAATGTCAACCACCGTGTATTCGGCGAAGCTGGAGACACTCAAGAAACAGTGTAAAACCTCCCCTTTTGAGTCCCTGAACCGGCTGGTCCCATCCCTCGGCAACCCGGGAACAACCCCGAACGGAAATTTGGAGCAGATATTGCTCTTCTTCGACTTGCAATCTCTGCATTCCTCACAGTTGGCCAGGAACACTGGAACCACCATATCTCCTTCTTTTACCTCCTTCACATTCTCTCCCACGCTCTCCACAACACTACACCACCACAAGAAATTAACCCCTCGAAACCAAAAATCAAATTCACTATTCCAAATCCCAGAAAGAGAGAATCCAGAAACATAAATGAAATTCACGACTAATTCTAAACATTCAACGGAGAAACAGAGATTCAAAGCAAGGAAATTACCCAACAGCCTCGTGTCCAAATATCCTTGGGAAAATTCCATGTGGCTCCTGAAGAGATGGATTTGGAGAAACAAAATTCGGTTATGACATGACCCTAGCTAATGTTATAAAGCAATACTGAGCGAGGACTGAGATGATTTACTTTCAACTTCCAGAAGGTTACATCACTATGACAAAGAGACGTGCAGATTATTTTGATTCGAACTTCCCCAGCTTTGGGAGGGGCTACTTCAATCTCCTCTATTACCAGGGGTTCTCCTGAGCTTCTGCAAACTGCCGCTGTGGATTTATACAGAAGAGTCATATAAGAAATGGAAAGCAGTTCAAATTTTGAAGCAAGCACATATAGGAACGTTATTGTGTGTGTGCCTGTGTGGGAGAGAGAACCTTTGCATCTTATAGCTTTCCCTACTGTAGATGCTACTGAGTTTCCGTTCTCCATAACTGACAGAGGAATAAATTAACGAGATCTCAGCTCTTCTTCTCCCTACTGGAAACTAACAAAAGGCTGAAGAAAAACTAAGCAGACTCTGCCTAAACAGCCATTTTCTTTGTTTATCTACCGACTCCGTATAGACTAGAAAAAGTTATCGCTGCGATGATGCTGATGATGTAAGGCTGTAAAAGCTGTTCGAACGGAACTTTCATTGACCGAAGCTGATCTCTATAAAAGCTGTGAAGGCAATTTTTGGGTCTCAATATCAATAAAAATAATATTATTAAAACAAAATAAAAAAAAAGTTGATTTTTTAAAATTAAATCAATTAAAGGCAGATCACTGTTGATTTTTTTTTTCTTGCAATCCATCCGCCGCCTCTGGCAATACTTTTACCTATCTCCGCCCACCTCCGCCTTCGGCAATATTGTGGGAGGTGGGTAGAGGCAGATACGACGACAACGGCGGAAGAGAATATGATTTTTTATTACAGGTACATTGACCCATTTGTTAGACAGTTTTGTATGCCCTTAGCTCCAATCAGTTTTGATATACTTTTAACATTTAGTATAATGAATAAAGTGCATATTTGATTCATGTTGTGCGGTATATTTCTATGTAAGACTCTTAAACTGGACATTTAATGAGACCCGTGTTAGTTTAGAATGTTTACAACCGTTGGATAAGTCTGGGGAGATTTATCCTGTCAAGGCTGACACTGGTGTGCTGCCAAGTATTGGGGTGGCTTGTTTCAGCCGCCAGGGTAAGACCCAAGGCACACGCAGTGTAGGATTACTTGAACCATTGAATCGGACCAGATTTCCAGTATTGCTCTAGACCTTGGAGATTGATGGGCAAAACTGGAAAGTTACACCTGACCCCTAAACTCGATTATGGTACTGCACTAGGAGTCGGATTGGGTTGTCTTTGATATGCCAATCAGTGAGATCCTTAGCGGGGGTCAAAACCTGAGTATGTTGGGATAGTCTGAGAATTCATCTAAGTGTGTGATCATAATGATGGGATCAACCCCTTTGTCGGACAAAGGTAATGATCGGGGATGCACTCTCTCTGATGAAAACCAAACTGCCGGTAGTTGATTTCAATCGTTGGAATTTTGTTTTGCAAAAT